ATATTTAACAGGAGTAAGAAGACATAATGATATTAGAAAATTAATTTAAAAATTATATTAAGTTTAAAAAAAATCTTTTATTAAAGGAACTACATAAAACTTCTATCATATAAAATAGAAAGAAAACAGACAAAAACAACCATTCTTATAATACACTTCACTAGGAAACTGTGCTAAAGGATTTTACAGATTAATATATAAAAGGTAAACTTCCTTACAACTATCTGTCACATTTTTTTTCAGGTTGATTGAGGTAGAGAACAACAATTGTTAGGTTAGTGAATTGCTTCCTGTAAGTATTTTATCTGGTGTGTACTTTTCTGAGAATGACAGCAAAAGATGATTATAAGAGATCAATATTAAATGACAGCAATACATATCTTTTCCTTACAAAAAAGTGAAGCAGTATTTTATTATTTATTACATTGTAAAGGTAAAAAGGTGAATTAGTAGAAATATAATGATTCGAGAAGGTAAAGGATTGAGGCTTTGAAACCTCCTATTGTTCTGTATCGTAAGTTCTCTGTCACAGCATGATAACTCCGCGAAGTACAGCTCCCTTACTCTTACTTCGGGGAGTGTTTTGGACATCAAAGCAGAGAGAGCACTTACTTCCTTTGTGCGTTCATTTGTGTGCCTTATCAGTATTTAACTCTGACAGAATGGAAGCACACGTTTAGGCTTTCATATTGACTTGATGGCTTGCCTCGCCTCTCTGCCTTGTAGTTGTATTTGGAAGGGTCATAGGCAAAACTGTCAAAGGACATTTTGTTGTCCATTCTCTCCTTCTCCTTTGCCCCTGCCGCATAGCCAATGAGCTCCTTCCTGTTGCCAGGATGCTAATGTATTGTTAGTCTAGGGGCTTCTCTAGGCAAGTACCATTCTGTTTTATCCACACAGGTTCAACAGCATCTAGCACCTCAATATTTGTCACATAAATCCACAAAGGACAAACTAATTCATCATAAGTATTACATTCTGACATGTATCTTTTTCATATTAGATGAGAACTTCTGGGGAAACAATATTTAACCTAAAGAAGTGACCCACTAATGAGAGAATTTCAGGCATCAAGGGAGAAATATTGAGGATAGAGCATAAGTGGGACATGTGTGATTTCGAATTACATGATACAAAATTTCCACATTATTTTGTTTTATTTAGAGTAGTTTCCAGTTTGAGAATTGCCCCAAAATTCTAGATAAGAAAAGTTCAGAGTAGATTGTTTAAAAAAATGAATGGGCAGATTTCGCATTCTCTCAATTTTATGGGTAACATATTAAAGCTTATAGGATATAGTTCTTCAATACCATGTGCCACCTTGGAAAGGCCGCATACCGGAAAGGCCGCATACCCGAAACGCCACTGCCTCATTCATTCTGTGGTTCTTCCAAGAGGACCGGCACACGCTGCTGCATCAGCTTGGTCTTCAAGCCCTAATTCCTGACTTCTGCTCACATTCTGCCTCCAGTCCAGTTTTGACTTCACTGGTGATTTCCGTTGTCTTGTCCTGCTTGGGCCAATCTCTCCAAATTGCTCTAGCCTTGCCATCTCTGCTTTGGCATCCGGCCCCATTGACTGCTCAAACAGCCCTCTTCTGCCCCCTTCTGTCACAAGCCTCCATGTGCACAGCTGGGTCCAGGCAACTTAGTCCTAGTCATTTATTTATTCACCAGTAATTTACGGAATAGTTGCCAAGCACCAGTACTGGACTAGGTGCCTGTGATATATCAGTGAATAAAACAGAAGGAAAATAACTGCACTTACAAAGTTTCCAAATGGGAGTTTCATCTCAGCCTGAGTCCATACTTTGAAGGAAACATTTTCAGAGTTTTGCAGCACAGGGCTTAAGTAACAATTTATAAAGGAGCCATGTTATAAAATGGCTCCCTACCATACTGATTTTGATTTAAATTGAATCTTCCTTGGAGCTCTTTCAACCAGCTTAGGAGCATGAAAGACAGCAATATTGCTTTCCATTTATGGCATATTCTCCAAATTTTAAAAACATATTTGAAGTATTTATCTTTAAGGTTCTACAGGAGAATCCTTCCTTGCTTCCTCCAGCGTCTTGTGATCTGGCATTCCCTGGCTTTGGGCTCCATCACTCTGAGCAGTGCTTCCATCGTCACATCCTGCTCTGTGTGGATGCTCCCTTCCGTCTTTTAGAAAGACATATATAATTAGATTTAAGATCCACTTTAAAAATCCAGGTTGGTCTAATTTCAAGATCTTAAGTTAATTACATCTTCAAATGCTTTTTTTCTAAATAAGGTCATATTCACAGGTTCCTGGGGTCAGGATGTGGGTATATCTTTTAGGAGACCCCCATTCAACTCAGTATCTATCGGTTAATGGTTTCTTAAAACAGAAAAAGGCACTGAATTTAAGCTTCTATAATTAATTGCTATAGAATAGGAAGAGGGACCTATGTATGAACAGAAAATAAAAATTAAAGTTCCTATTTACAGCCTTCCCATTTTTTAAGGTGCAAATTGGGATGGAAAGCTTTTTAAACCTTCCAAATCCAAAGGTTATTGTTTACTCTCTTTCCATGAAAAATAGGGGCTACCGATAGTGCATTCACCCTTCCAATGGAGAAGACTTGTGTTAATACCAGGGCAATTTTGGCTTTCAGGAAAGCTACCCACAATGATGCCAAGAAGTCAAGGTGGTTTTCTGTCCCAGCATGCTTATTCATGGTTCAATGTCTGGGGCAACCACCTTCTGGTTAGTGGCAGTGACAGGTGGAATCAGCAGATTGGAGGAGAGCTACTTAGGAAGTAAGGAGTTACAGGGTTTGGTAAACAATTAAGCATGTTAGTAAGGAACAGGGAAGATCCAGAAAAGATTCCAAGCCCTGGATGTGTAGGACAAGATGTTGGGTTCAGTCCTAGATATGCTGAATTTGAGGAGGTGGTAGTCATTCAAGTTAAAAAAAAATCATTAAACTGATGGCTGATGGATCCCTACCTTTAGTTTTGTGTTTTTTGTTTGTTTGTCTTGTTTATAATTACAGGGTAGTACTTTTTGTTTGTTTTTCAGGAAAGATACACTGAGGGTTTATTTGTTTCTTTGTTTGCGTGCATCATGAATGGTCTCAAATTCATCCTTAAAGTTTTAACTCAAACATTCTACACATAAATATTCCCCAACCATGATACTAGTGCCAGCTGTCTTTTAAACTTCAAGACATGCTTTAAATATAAATGTTATTTCATGCTTAGTATATTTTGCCTGATTCTTAATTTTTATTTACATTTTAAAAGGGTGTATGCATTTAAAAATCTCCCTCCTTATTTTAGTTTTCCTTTTTTCCATAGTCTCATAAATTAAGTAATCAAAAACAAGCAGTCCATTTGTAATTGATATTCTTTTCTCTTCCTTCTATCTTATTTTCTTTCTGAATCAGTGAGAGGAGAGGTAGGCTTTTTTGTTGCTCCTTGTCTTCTTCATAAAGGTGAGAATTATACATAGAAAGGTTTTTCTCCCAACCTCTTTGGTAACAGTGACATAATTTTATTTATTATGAACTTGCAAGTATGACATTGATTTACAACTTTGCTTGCATTCATTGTCGCCTTTCAAATGACTCCAATTTTCATGCTGCTTTAGCAGGTGAGGAACTTACAAAGGTAGCACATGTATTTAAACAATCGTTAATCTATTAGGATATGTCTTTAATATTTTGTTCTATTTTTAAAGAAGTCTTTTTACAAATTATCTTTTTATATACTTTTTATACCTGATATACTTTTGTATTATGGTTCAGATATTTAAATCAAGATTGTTATCTAGTCATATTACTTTTTAATTTGCTTTCATTTAATGCACACAGGTAAAAAAAAGAAACAAAAGTGAAATTTTAAGGGATGTAAACATGAACTTAACAGAGAAAGCATATACACATGAATTAAAATAAGTTTTAATATGACAGTAGAATATCACTTAGTGTATCCACTTAACTTCCCTTGCACTGCAATAGCTGATGGAAAACCCTAATACGACTTCATTTAGAGCTTGGCAAGAGAGTCTATTCAGTGAAGGACCCAGTGTTATCAGCAGGAAGTGTTCTGCTTTTTATAGGCCTTAAAAATGAAAATGAGCATCAAAACAAACATTGGTACCTGACAATTCCGTGTATCTCTCCTTTGCAATGAAATGTTCAAGTCATTCACATGGGACAAGTAATGTCAACATAAGTATCATTTACTGAAGCAGAAAAATATGATACTGAAAAATGAGAAGGACTTCCTTTTTTCCCCTACTAATTAAAATTCTTCCCTAGCAATTAAAGCCATTAATAATTTCTGCCATAAATATATGAGGACAAAAGATAGATCCAATTTTATCTATAGGTCATTGACACTTTTAAATGTTAAAATTTTTCTATGAAATTGAAACTACAAGGTTAGTAATAAAATTGAAAGTACAGTATCTGAAGAACATCATATTCAATAGGATCAAGAGTAGGTAAAGGTAATGATGGGAGAAATTCTGATATCTCTCAAGTCTCATTTCTCCACTAATAATATTTCAAATTTATGCTTTGTGTAAAGTTAGTGCCCTGGGAATTTTCAAAAGAAAGAGTATATGTTGGCCTCTACTCTATACATAGATGTACAGAAATCACTTTACATGTTTTTCCAAAACATCCAAAACTGTCCTACAACTAGATCTTGTATTGAAATTTGCAACAAGTAGATATGACCACAAATAGAACTTGTGATTTCAAGCTATAGGAAAGGTATCATTCCAATGTAAAGTTCTGATTGATTTAAACAGCAGCAACTGTACAATAGGAAGACTTTGAAGATGGTGACAGTTATATTGTATTCATAAATAAAAATAACTTTGACAAAGATTCAAGCTCGGCTGAATTTTAAGTGGAAGTTTGTATCAATTACCAGTTAAAAGAATCTTTAATTTCTTCTAAAGCTTCCCCACAGAGAGAAGATGACAACAAAAGAGGTTTCCTATCCTGTTTTGGCTAGTCTTACCAGTAAAGACGATGGGCAATCTGGATGCTTTGCAATGAGCGGTGTAATAGGAGCTGCACCAGAGGACTTTCAAGGTTCCATTCAAACTTGACAGCCTGATGTAAGAGATATGATTAATTTACTCTTTTCTTTTCAGTTACAAAATTATAGCAGAATACAGAGGGACTTAAGAGGCTTGAAAAAAGACCAAGGAAAATAGTATAAACATTTAAAAAATATATTAATAATGTATTTGATAATTTTAGTAGCTGGAGCATACACACATCACACAATTTGGGTTTGTGTAGTCTGTTTCCATTCCTTATTTATGCATTAGTATAATAGAATAATAAACAAGTGCAGGTGGCTGGTCGAGTTAACTGTTTAGAAAGAAAATCCTGGCACAAAAATAGTATCATAATCAGTGTCCTGGATATAAAAATGGCACTATTAAACAACAGATATTTCTTCTCTTTGGGAGATGAAATTAATGCACATTGAAAGCCTTAATTGAATCCACTAACTGATGTATCAGTATTAATCTGCAGGCCTTGAAGCTTTACTTAGAGGTTTCAGAACTGATTGTTGCCACCATAATCCACCCATTACCAATTCCTTTCCCTCGTTTCTACTGTGAACAACTAAGATTTTCTAGGATACTCAACCTGGTGCATCACTCAGATGGCAGTGGCAGCCCTTGATATCTTTGGGACCTCCACCTGCACTTTGCAGGGACTTCACCCTCAATAGTCAGTACTGGGTCCCCATCATCATCCCAGAAATCTGAGTATGTTGTGAAAATGAAAACTGCGCTCTTGTCATAAAAATGCTCAATCCTGTTTGAGAGGCAGTTTCTATCTTTAGTTGCTCAATGAGCCATTTAAGTCTCTCTCTCTCTCTCTCTCTCACACACACACACACACACACACACACACACACACACACACACACACATTCAATAGTTTAAACTAGTTTTATAGTGTAGTACAGACAGGAGAAAAAAGTGGTTACAATATTCATTCAAAATACACATAAAGAAATACCTCAATATGCTACCCATCCTCAAGGATGGAAAAATTTATGAATTTCTAAGATGTGAGAGCATCAAAGATGATTTCAGCAATTTTGCATAAACTCTTGAGGCTTTCTGAATGTCTGAAGACAATAATGTATGTAAACTGCAGCTATGGCCTCTTTTACTTATTTGTTAATACTCAGCTGTTTAGGTCATGAGCTGTGTTTATGCCCTAATAGTGAGCATATCATATGAGCACAAGAACAGGTGAAATGTCTCAGAATTTGCTTCTATGCTTGTCTTTCTACCTTTCTTTTTAGATTTTCCCATTACTTCTTTGTGAGCCCAATAACTACTTTTGTTCATGAATTGCTTCCTTTGCTTCCAAACTCCCTGCATCAGTCTATAGACTGGCACAATTTCCCCCTAAGTCCTGCCTCACCATCAAGGAGACAGGCATTATTTCTGGTGTACACCTCATTATTAAGAACTGTTCTTGGAACCTACCTGCATGGTTATGAGCTGTGGTTTGCAGTAACCTCTGGGTCTATGTCTTATTTGATTCCTAACTATGAACAATATCTTCTGTTTTCATTATGTTCTTAGAGTCATGTCTTATTGCCTTAATATAGCCTACATGATTCTAACAAGATAATACATCACAAAATAATGTAATTCAAAAAATAATCAGTAGGGTGGGATTTCTATGTCTTGGAAAGTTTTAGAGTTAAGAATAGCATGAAAGTTTAAGGTCAAACTACTCTAAAACATGAAAATTCTTCACAGTTTTTATCTTTTAGTCACATTATATACTTCTTTCCATCTGAGAATATTTTATAATTTTCATTTTCAATTGTTGAATAGTTTCAACTTAACCTAATTCTACCTGTGTGTATTTGTTATGTTGGATTCTGTGTGCACCTTGTTTTATAAATTTGGATTTGTAGGTATATGGATCTCAGCAATATTCCTTGTGCCAAGTGTATTGATTCAGATTGGGACTTTGAAATAGGTTTAATCTATATCAACTTTATAAAAATCTTACTTTCTTGAGTCAGATTAGATATTGCATGTTCTCCAAACTCATGAACCATGAGATGAACAGAGTTCCTACAAGTTGGGCTAGTCTTTATTTTCATTATGCTATCCTGGCAAATATAGGAAAATCACAACTATAAGGATCCGTAGAAGTAAGTGTATGGTACAGCTACTTCTACACCAGATCTCTCTTTAGGAGTCCTTAGGAGAAGTGTACATTCTGTGTGCAAAGTAATATGTTATTCCAGTTATTAATAGAGGCTTCCCCCTTTAGTCTCAGTTTCCTGTCTTTAGTGTTCAAACTGAAGCCCTGGCATTTAAAATAGCCTGTAACTACAATTTTACCTGCCAGATAAAAAAATACCAGAGTTAAAAATAAATAAAAAACCTAAAAACATAAAGACCACTATTTTAGACCTATCCAGCACTCAATATATGGCCAATTTAGAAAAATATTATCATTTGTAGTTTGGATAGTCATTATGTGGTCATTTTTTTTCCTCTTTAAGGTTTTATTTTTATGTTTGGGTAGAAATAAAGAACAAATCATAGCAATTCCAATTCCAATTTTCATTCTCTGGAAGTATCTTTTTAATTTAATTAATTAATTAATTAATTAATTAATTTATTTATTGTTTTGGTATCATTAATCTACAATTACATCAAGAACATTATGATTACTAGGCTCCCCCCTTCACCAAGTCCCCCCGACATACCCCTTCACAGTCACTGTCCATCAGCATAGAAAGATGCTGTAAAATCACTACTTGTCTTTGTGTTGCACAGCCCTCCCCGTGCCCTGGGGACTATGTGGTCATTTTTAAAAGATGTAATTGTTTATTTCAAATATTCAGTCTAGATCAGTCTTTGCTCATTAAATTTCTACAAAAATTTATGGTATTTTCCAAAATTACTCCAACATTGTTATAGTTGATATTGTTACTAAAATGTACTATCTGGTGGTAGAATTTGGTTATTATCCTATAAGATGACTTTTATATGATTTATAATCAACATTATAATATTCTAATGGAAAGGCAAGAAACATTAAGTTATGAGAAGCTGACTAGACGATTTTCTATATAATATTTATTGGGTTAAATTTTTTATTGTTTTACATAGTCACGTGAAACAACTTTATCACAACCATTTCTATATTTTCCGAGTAGTGTGACATTCTTTCCGAGTAAGTGACATTCTTTAAAAAAAACTTTCCTTTTGGATTTTATATACCTTTCCTGTAACTGTACCTTTTTTGTAACTAGCTAGAGAATGCCTACATTATGCATGTTGACATATAAGCCAGAACTTAGTTCCTTGGTTGGCCAAATTGCAATATCACTTTTATGTTGTCTATTGCTGACTCACTGGAAATTTTTTAAAGAGAATTATTAGTTGAAGTCCTGGAATCCTTTGGCAACTCTGCTGTTCGTACCTGGACTAGTTGCGGGAGATACTCCAGTAGTTCATCATTCGAGAGGTTGTCTAACTGTTGAACTGCCACTTTACGAATTTCTTGATCTGGAAAACTAATGCAAAGTAAATATATCTATTAAGCTGTTAATGGTACAGAAATAATATATGAGAAATGTCAAGGAGAACAGAGAATGAATTCCACCCCTAGTGCATAAGACAAAATAATAATCTCAGTCAAATTAAGATGATTGTTAGCACCAACTAATTATTATTTTTCTGTATTCTGTCTCTCATATAGACTGCACTAGAAAGCCCTTTTGACTAGATTTTGGAAACTGGGGCTTAAGCCAGATTCCTGCCAGTTTTTTGTCTATAAAATGTAGATTATAGGATATCTTTAATCTTTTCCAAAAATGTATGAAAATCTTTGATTATTTAGCTATGCATTTGTTAAGTAAATTATTACCAGCTGGGGACCTGATGGTTTATATGATTAAAAATGGGATATAATATATTTAAATGAGTTTTGGCCAGATAATAATGAAAACCAGAAATTTAGAGTCTCTTACAATAAATAAACAAAAGTAATTTAAGAAGGCTAAACCTTACTAGGCTTGAAGTTATTTAGGGTAATTGTGCCTTATTCATTTTTAGACTGTATATGCTTGTAAGATTTAGCACCCATTAAACACTTAATAAATGTTTGTTACTGAACTAAATATATGAAAGTATTTAGCATATGAATTTCTATTTCAAAGACAATTAATGCTCAAATGGGTTCATCAGGTTGCCATCATCTTGTTCCATCAAAAGAATTAGATTCAATTATCTCCAAGCTCCTGGGAAGTGCCTACAGATAACTTTTGGCACCATACTGTTTTGACATGATTTTTACATACTGCTTTGATGTAATTAGATGTAAGCAGGGCTTTGATAGAAAGACTAATTTTAAACAAACAAGTTTTCAGAAAAATTTAATATGCATAATTTAAAACTTGAAGGAACTCTTTATAGTGACTCATTGAAAAAAAAGCAATGAATAAACAAATAAACCAAAATACCAAATTCCTTTTGGATGAACACTAACTGAATGGTTTTTAACCAGTCATATGGGAGGTCTAAGGATTGGCTTCGAATACTATGCAGGCCAGAAAACTTCAGTCTTTAATGTCCAGTCTCTTCTCAGCATATCAAGTTACTAAAAGGTGAAATGAATACCATGCAGCTACAGTGTCAAGCAAAAAATGGTATTATTCACTATCTCCTAACTGTCCTTAACAACACTTTGAAACATAATGCTTAAAACAGATTACGTATTTTTCATCATTTAAACTGAACATTTTAATTGTAACAAGAATTTTACTTTCAAGGCTAGTCACTCAAAACCCTTATTTCTGACTTTCAAATACTTTTTCCAATAATTTTCTCCTTTTGAGCAATCTAGCAATAAGACCGAGTGAGGATTGTAGTCCAGACATATCTCAGGAAGTACTGCCAAGGTCAGAAGATCTCAGCACAGCATCAAGCACAGACGGAGAGCAGGAAGGGTGCAATACAAATGCAAAGTCAGAAGGTCAGCTTGTTTTAGCACACTGAGGCTTTATTTTCTCCTAACTAAATGTGATTGACTCTAATTTATTGCCCTCAATTACTAAACCATTTGTCTGAAGCCTATAGACACCAAGGTCAGTTAGAGGACAGTTTGAAGGCTTAGGAAGAATAGTTACTTGGTATATTTTGTTGCCTAAGTAATGACTTAAGTCAGATACTAATCACCCATGCTTTCTTGTGTGCATGTTTTATCTCATTGATATGAATGACAACAAAGAAACAGAAATAGAAAATAAACACCACAACAAAACTGTTTGGTGAATACTATGCCTCTTACGCATTTATTTTCAAATACAAGAATGTAAACTCCATGAAAGCAGAAACTTTTTGTCTGCTTTGTTCGCAGATGTGTCCTCAGTGTCTCCAGATTTGTGGGCATGCCCTACACATTTGTTTTAAGAATGTCTACATCAAAATAATTATCTTTCCTCCTAAAATAAAAATGCATTGAGCATGATGATAATAATGAGGAAAGTTATACTCTTGAGCCCATATTATTTATTTCTGTACTCTGAGGTAATTTATATTGGTAGCATATAAATTTCGTATTTTTTTTCCTCTCAGTCATAGGGTGAGAGAAAAACAAATCTGAAGGTAATGGAAAAGAAAGACTCCTTTAGGAATAGGAGAACAAAAATCTAGTAATATCTGTATAGTACCATCCAAAATGAAAATTATATATTAGTATGTGCAAATATTGGGAAGAGTGTTTTTGTACCTTAATGGAAAGAAGTGTCTCTTTTTATCCACTACTGTTGCATGAAGTTTAGAAAGAAATTAGAAGATAAATTGCTAAGAAACCAACCACATGACATTCTCAGATCTGATTAAGGCCTAACAACATTAAAGCATATCCAAATATAACTTGCATCTGACTATTTTAGGAAGAGTTGGCCATGTTAAAGGAAATGCTGGCAATGTTAGTGAAGTTCCTGGGAAATGGGCTCTTTCATACATGCTGGCAATATATAGCAACATGTATTTTTTCTTTTAATCTTTAAAACGTGATTTCTTCCTTGATCTAACAATTTTCCTTTTGGGAATTTGTCCTTAAAAGATAATCAGAGATGAATGTAGGATATATGTATGCAAACAAAACTAGAAATAATGTTAATATTTAAAAATAAATAGTAAGGTCAAATATGCTGTAGCCATATGACAGACTACATGCAGTCATTAAAAATATTAAAAGAATATTTAATGCTGTGAAATATTATGAAAAACAAAATCACATGTTCTTTTAAGTGAGATCATTGTTGTGCAAAAGAACAAGCATTGTTATTTTTCTGGTTGACTTGAAATATTCTTTTAACATAGGCCCAAATAGGGATCTCTGCCTCTGGAGAATTTCTGCTTGATACCTACCTTTTCAGGGCCCTGAACTCAGGTATAGATCAATGGACAAATATGTTCTACAAATCCTGGCATTTCTTCCCTGTGACTGTCTGAAACTATTTAAATATTCTCTTGGGATATAGTTGTTGGCATTTCATGCTCAGTAACTCATTCCTCAATGAAGTGAGGGCCACCCATATTAGTTCTCTGACGGATGTGTGATATTTACAGACTGAAATGTCATGTGTAACAGAAGAACTGAAACCTATTTTGAAATTTCTACAAGCCAGGTTATTGTACTTTCCAATAATCCAATTTGCTTGAAAAATACATAGAATTCCTGCTAGTAATGAACCAGGAGCCACTCCCATGATTCTGCTAACCTTGGCTACTAATTACTATGTACACGGACATTATACATTATATCTGGGGAAGAAACATTTTCCAAAGGAACTTCAGTGAAATAGCAACTCTGTATCTTGCCAACAATGTAGAGTAAACACAAAATTGAGGTTAGGCAGAGGATTATTTTGGAGTTGCAATCCCTGCATGGTCAGGAAAGGAAGAGTATCAAGTATTTAGGTAACTCTTTGGCTCAAGGTGGAAGCAGAAACTAACCGGTGGTAGGGTTTGCTGTAAAACAGAAGTTCTTGTATTTCTGGTCTCATGACCCTTGCACATTCTTAAAAATTATGGAAGATTACAAAGAGTTTTATTTATGTGGGTTATATCTACCAACAATTATCATATTAAAAATAAAACCAGAATATTTAAGATATATTTCATGTTAACATAAACAATATATTCCTATGAAAAATAGCTATGTCTTCAAAAACAAAATATTTAGAGAGAAGAATGATATTGTTTTACATTTTTGCAAATCTCTTTAATGTCTGGCCTAACAGAAGACATCTGTATTGTACTATCTGCTTCTGCATTAAATCTGTTGCAATACTTCATGTCATGTAGCCTCTGTAAACTCCACTCTGTGCTCAGACACAGTTAAGTGATATTAGACTTATTATGAAAATAATCTTGCAACACCCTTGTGAGCATCTTGGAGACTGCAGATCTCATTTTGAGGTCCTCTAGTAGGCAACATAATTTTGGCATGTGTTATTATTGTAGAACCATAAATCAAGAAATCAGCACTTGCGCCCTATTTTGAAGACAGAAGGATATCAACCTATGGGTTCCCTAAGCGACAAATCGGCTTTGAAGTCATCTAATCAACATTCAGATTTGAGAATTGTCACTCCTCCTCCCTTCCCTCAAGCATTTACAACTTGTCTCCTTTCAGAGGGCAATAGAACATCACAAAAGATTCAGATACCCTTCAGTAGGGCCAGTGGAGTCATTAAGTGAAATTTCAACAAAAAAGTACATCTCTCAACTTCTCCCATTTGACTTGCTATTTTGTCACATTTACTCCTATTTTCTCCCCATATCATTGTTTTTGTCTCTTTTCTTCTTTTTCTGGTTTGAGAAGTATGTAGGGTCAATAATGTGTACTCAAAGAACTTTTCAAGTTATAGGCAAAAACCAAATGTGTTGTAACAAATGTCAGCTCTTAAAAAAACCAACTTTGAGTAAACTGAAAAGAAATATGAGATCAAATATAAGTGTAAGAAATGTTAGACTTCAGAATACACAGTAATAGTTCATGCAGTATGACATGAGGCTATTTACAGTTAAAAGCCCCAATATCAGGTTAGAATTAGAAAATCATCGGAAGTGCAGAACAGTTTCTCCAACAGGTTTTGAGTCTGATGACACACTCAGCATCAGGTTGGAGGGAAAATGTCAATATGAATATCTTTGCTATTTTTTTAGTACTAAAAATGATCAGATATGACAGAAAAATAATTTTTTCTAGGAAAAGTGGTGAATAAGGATTCTTTAAGATGACTATAAACTGCTATCTACTGAATAATTCATGTTCCTTCTAGGATTTTCACATGATTACAGAGTATAAGAATTCAAGGAAACTTGGAGGTCTGGTTCAATCTCCCTGTCACAGAGATGAAGAAATTGAGATTCAGAGAATTTGAGCTGTTTGCCCAAGGCCATATGTTGGTGGCACTGCAACTAGAATCCAAAAATCTGGATACTAGGCCAGTAGGTTTTCTATAGTACTTCTAGCAAGGCCTTTTTATCTTTTGACTAA